TATCTTTGTTTATTATTTTTGGTTGCCCATAGGTTATAGTTGTTTCTCTCTCTGTTCTACTTATTGCTTCAAGTATTCTTTGAAGTGCTATTTTGTAGACGTATTCTTTCAGGATATTCATGTCATGGAAGATTTTTTTTTCCTCCTCAACTATAATAGACATTTTTCCTGGGTATAGTATTCTGGGCTGGCATTATTGTGATGTAGAACTGGAAATACCTTGGTCTGGGCTCTTCTGGCTTTCATAGTTTGCATTGATAAGTCAGCTGTAATTCTGATGGGTTTTCCCATCAGTGTATGTGTCTTGTTGTTTTTCTTTTTCTACTTTCAGTATTCTCTCTTAGTTTTCTACACTTAGTATTTTTACTATGATATGTTGAGGGGAGTTTCTTTTTTGATCCTATCTATTTGATGTTCTATGTGCTTCCTGTATTTGTATGGGGATGTCTTTCCTTAATTTTGTGAAATTGTCTTCTACCATCCTGTTTAAGATCTGGTCAACAACATTAACCTGAAATTCTTCTCTTTCCTCTATTCCTATGATCTGTATATTTGGTCTTTTCATGTTGTCCCTCATCTCTTGCATATTCTATTCCTATGTTTTTAAAATTTTTCCATACTCTTTGCTTGACTGATCCAATTCTTCAACTTTTCCCTCCAGTGTTGATATTCTGTTTTCCATTTCATTCATTCTTAGGTGAGGCTTTCCCCTGTTGTTTCAAGGTGGCTTCCTGAGTTTTACACTTCCTTCTTCATTTCTCCCTGAGTTTTTTTCAATGTTTCTATCTCTTTTGTAAATTCATTCAGACGTTTATCCCTATCTTCGTTTAGCTCTTTGATTTGTTTGTTTGTGTGTTCTTTAAATTCGTTGAATTCCTTGATCATGTTTATGATTATTCTTTGAAAGTCATTCTCCTGGGTTATTTCTAGGGGGTTCTCCTTATAGAATTCTTCTACAGGATTGGTCGTGTTTGATGGGGACATAGTGTTTTGGCTTTCTGTTTTATTATTCTTTCATTGTGATTTTTGACTTGTGAATTTCTTTTGTTGTTTATTATTCTGATATGAGAATGAAGTTGAAGTATGCTTCTCTTTATATTATCCAGGTGCCTAGATCCTTTCTTTATTGGCTATGTAAAGCTAGTTGGTACAAGGTTCAGGTTCTTTCAGGTTTATTCTGGAAGGAACTGATGGCTTCAGATCAGCTATTCAGGGGTGCGTTGTCAACCCTATGCTAGAGAGAGGCCAGAGGAGGGCCAAAATTTGGCACTTTCTGGAGGTCTGCTGAAATCCCAGTTGCTACACCAATGGTGGTTCAAAGCCACCCTCTCAGGCTGTCTGCTAGGATCTCAGCCTTAGCTTACCAAAGCCAGATCTGCCCTGGGGCCTTGGGAGGGGCCTCACAAAATCCAAGGTAGGGGGATGGTATGGCACAATTAGGGGAAGCTCACCACCAGGTGGAGGCAGGATCTGGGAGGCTGGGAGGCAGGCCCCTGGGTTCTCAGGCCCTCTGGTAGTTGGAGGCCAGAGTGAGGCCAGAACCCGGCACTCTCTGATGCTCCACTGAGCTCTAGGCTGCCACCCCAATGGAGGTCCAAATCCACTCTCCCCAACATTAATTTTTGACAAGGAAGAACTATATGTATTTAGGAGGTGCAGTGTGATATTTTATTCACCACATACATTTTTGAAATTGACTATTAAATTAACATAATTACCACTTCATGAATTTTCGTATTAAAATATATATACTCAAAATAATGTCACAATGTATTTTCAAGACTGAAAACTGGCTTATGAATGCAATTTTTATAAAGTGACTGCTCCTTCAATATTGGCAGCGAAATTTCAGGAATTTGAGAGCCTTGATTTCAATCAAAGTCCTCCCAAATCATCAGAAGAGACACATTTAACGTCTCAGGTAAGTATATAATAAACTAGAATTCAAGAAAAAAGTTTCTCTTGTATTCTCTTTGAAATTCATTTGCACAACCTAAATGTCCCTCAGTCTATTAGTGGATCCTGTACATTAGTTACATTTACACTGAAGTTCTACTTTGTGGTAAAGGAAAAGGAAATCAAGTAATTTGTAGGTCAATGGATGGAAGTAGACATGACTATACTAAGTGAGACTGAGGTGTTCTCCCAATTGTGGTTCCTACCACCTTGAATAGATACTCAAAGGAAGTGAATTCTGTATGGGCTAGATATATGTGCACTCTCTAATTATTGCAGCACTGTTTGGAGAATAGGGAATCTACTAAAATGACCATTGACAAATGAAAGATTTACTGAAATGTGATATTTCTGAAGAATACAACAAAATCCATGGAAAAGAGTAGAATCTTCTCATACTTGAGAACAGGATTGATCTGGTAGACACTGTATCAGGTAAAGAATTTGAAACACAGCACTACATGATTTGTCATAAGAGAAGTAGAGAAAGAAGTGATAGATGATAGAT